GAGGAGGAGGAAACAGAGAAGAAGGCAGTGAGAATTACGGTGAAAATGACGAAGCAAGAAGCGAATCGGATGCTGTCGAGGTGCTCCGATGGCGGCGTTCTCGAATTCAGAGATGTGGCTTGCGAGCTCATGCGGATTCCTGCTGCTCGAGTTACCTCTGCTGTGGTCGCCAATTGAATTTCCCCCTTCTTCTTCGAGAAGTTCTAGGGCTTTCTTTTTCTCAACTTACATTCATAATTTTTGCCGTTCTTTAATTTAACTTTTTCTAGGAATTACCACATAATATGTTTAATTAGTGTAATCAGGATTTTAGGGTTGTAAATTATATGATACAGAGTATCAAAATTTTGTAGAAACGATATATTTGAATTTTTTTCTTTAATTTCTGGATTCACAACCAATCAACTTAATAGTTTTTCAGTCTTGTGGAGGGTACAGATCGAAATTGAACCTCATCAATTGCAACAGTAGATATGCTCGAGTGCTGTTAAAATATTTCGTTTTTAATTTTCTATTTTTCTAAATTACGTTTATTTCCTCCAAAATGTATTCTTACCTTTCTCAACAATCCATTAATTTTTTTTTTCTTACCAAATTTCAAATATTAAAATACTATTGTTTTCCGTCATTAAAACTTATAGTTATCAAATGAGGTATAAATAACACGATTTTGATGCTTGTTTTCATCTTTTTAAATTTACTATTTATTTGTTTATTCTTAATATAACAAATATGTAATTTGAAGATTTAAACCTCAAACCGATGAGAGTAGGTATTTTTGACACATATTACTGTATCAAAGATTGATGATTCAATCTCTCGTCATAGTAATTATTGAATTAAAAAAAAAAGAAAAAAAGAAAAAGCTCATTGGCACCCTCCATATAGTGTAAATAAAGATTAAATATAGTGTGATTAAAATTTCTAATATTTCTACTAGACAACTATAAAATAGTTTGATGTTATTTTTTTGTTCATGTTTAATTTCATAATTAATTATTTTATTCGTCATATAATAAAATTCAAATCATTTTAAAATTGTAATGATGTGACAAAAATTATCGAAATGTTAGCGTCATTTAGTTGGCCAATACATATTTACCTCTTTACTTGCTAAAGGTTAAAATCCTCCACCTCCAATGGATGGATTGAAAAAAAAAACTTTTTGATCGCATCTGAAATGACTGCAAGTACGTGCATTTTCCTATCAATATCTCTCATAAACTCGATAAAGCAGGTTCGCGAGATGATAGTTTTATGAGAGTAGTATCGAAAGATAGTTGCTGAAAAAATTATTAGAAAATATAGCAACAATTTAGTTGGTAATTTTATTATTAGGTGGCAGCCTCGTTGAATATATTTTCATTTTATTTATTAAGAAAAACTATGAATAAAGGCCGGTTAGGCGTTAACAGAGCTTATGATTGTGCAGCCACACGTTGATCAAGAAAGGCCCAAATAGGATTTTACATTTCTGAATTATATTTCTTTGGTTCGATACATTAAATTCTCTCTATTTACTTGTTAAGTTTTGAAGCTATATGTTTAATCCTAAAATTGACGGTGGTATCTATTTAGTTATTAAATTTTAAAAAACTACAATTATATTTCAATATTTTTTATTTTTAAAATTCATACTGGAGAAGAATTTGAACATGATAAATATCATAGCATATGATTCTATATTCAAACTAAAGTAAGTGTAACTTTATTCTTATTTTATATAATATATATTAAGTCGATGTTAATATCAAAGCCGACATGTGAATTTATATGAGAAAAGATAAGATGCTTGAATTTTATATAAGCCAAAATTAAAGTGTAGCTTTCTAGAAATTACAGCTTTTTGAAATTTGAATTGTCTAAAAAAGTGGAAGCAAGAAAAAGAGAAGAAAAAAATATAGAGAGCATCATTCTTGTGTTTCATATTTTCATACTGACTCATTTAGCCATAAGAAAAGAAAAAATAAATTATAATAATAAGAAAAAAGAAAATTACAGAAAGGAAGAGAAAATAAAAGAGAAAGATAACTTTTTAGCTTTTGTTCTTGCAGTCAACCACACATGGGTTTGGGTTTGGCAGTTGAGAGTTCATTGAATTCCATTCATTTATGAGAAGCTGCTAACTGCAATCAAACCTTCCAACAATTTTGTGGAAATTTAACAAATTTTTTTATTGGTTGGTTTCGGTCGGTTTTTGTCGGTCGTGTAATTATTTTCCAGAGAAATTAGGATTAAAAATTGATTACAAAATTGCAACTCTTATCGTCATTTTAATAACTATTTTGTTGGTAGTTTTTTAGAATGATTTGTTTGATTACTATTTCTTTGAAATCTAAGTGGTTGGCAGAAATGTGTCTTTACTTTTGAAATTTTGGTAAAAAGTATCAAAAGGAACGTTAAAGTAAAATAAAAGAAGCAAAACACATAAAGGCAACTTTTTTTAAAATTATCAAATGGGACCTAACAAGCATATTTAGAGAGTGCAGCGAAACAAGAATTGTTGTTGTATATTGTTTTACATGTTTAAAAAACAAAAGTATCTATTGAGATCGATAGAATAACAAAAAGTTTTGCAAAATTGAAAGAAAATACGTGTAAAGTGAAAAGTAGGTGGACTTGGATGGGTCGAATGTAAAGGCCTCATTTAACCCATGAGAATGCAAGAAAGTAATAGAGATAAATAATTCGAACTTGTGGGCTCGAGAGGATTGAATTGATGTCTAGAAGTTTTCTTAACTATATTTGATTTTAACCTCTTTAAATATGGAACCTATAATTAAGCTATCATACATATACCAACTACTAAATTTATCAAAATTACATCAAATTCAGAGTAAAATTTTAACTTTATGAAAATGAATTTCATGTATTGCTAAAACCAATTAAATCAAATCCATTTCATTTGTTTTGATCAAACTTCTTATTTATTTGACATTACATCAAAAAGTTTGGATTCCTTGATTCATTTTGGACAAAAAAAGATAATATGAAAGATCCGATTCTCTTTCCCCATTTCAAGGAATGATGGGCATCTCAATAAAAAGCAAGCTGGCCAAATATTTTATTTTATTTTTTAAATTTTTAGAAAGATTTGGTTTGATAAGGTAAAAAATGAACGTATATTAATGAAAATTATTTCCCTTGTCTTTAAGCAATCCCGTGAATCTTATTGTCGTTTCCAAAATTTGTTATTTTCTTCTGTTGTCTAGATTTGAAGATCCTCGGTTTTATATTTAGAAAAAAAAAATATATAGATTACCAATATTTAGTGGTTAAACTTTCAAAATTATATAGAATATGAAAATTTTTAATTTTTATGTTTAATAGATTTTTAAAACTAAAAATAAATATTAGATTCAAAATTTGTAGTTCAAAGGCCAATCATATATTTATTTAAGTTTAAAGATCAAGAAGACACGATATTGAAAATTTAGGGATCTGGTAAAAACAATATTGAAAATTTACAAATCTAACTGATAATTCAACAAAATAAAAATGAAAGATAAAAAAAAAGGAAGTTGAAACTACAAAGAAGTATTCGTTTGTATATTAATTTTGTTTCCTTGAGATTACTACAACAAATTTGATTTTTTTCAATGCAAATCTTTCGTCAACAGTAAACAAAAAAACAATGATATAGTTCTTATTCCCAACAAAAAAAAAATAATTTTATCTGCACAATCGTTGCGATAGAACTACCAAGATATGCCCTTGTCGACGAAATAAAAATTCAGGATAGAGCTATTGACGAGTTCAAATTTCGTCAGCATATCTTTGATATATGTCGATACTCACCTGCCGACAATAACAAAAACATTGGCATATTGTTCGACGTGTTTATTTTCATCTGCAAACTACTCTTTTCCCTCTCATTTCTATATCTAAATTAATATGATCGTATCGATGAAAATGTTGTTCTTATATTGATATTGTACCGTTAATATTGTTGACCTACTAATAAGTAAGTATGTCACGGCGGTGGTAGGGGAGTCGGCCTCTTATTTATTGGGGTGAAACCATATTTTATAGAATTTGTCCACACACGGAAAAAGGAGGGCCCTACGCCAATAATTTAGGGAAAAAAAAATATTTAAGAAAAGGAAAATGAATCTATAAGCCAGCCTAATAAATCAAAAACTTTGAACATTTAATACAACTCTAATGAGATCATACATCCAATCTCATTACATTATTTTGTATTTTTTAAAAATTTATTGTCACTCATTAATTTCATATAATTTTTTTTGGTTGGATGAAGGATGGTGAAATTAACTCAATTTTTACTGAGATAAGTAATGTCTCGATTGTATAAACCTTAATTCGATTAATAAAGTCAAATCATATATATTTTTTTAAACTATARATAGAGCATATTTACAAATTTAATATCATATATATACTTGGAGGCAATTTAATAAAAAAAAAATTAGATTTCATTTTCATATTTAATTTCTGGCACTTATTTTGAAGAATTTATTTTGGTGTAGTTTTCATGGATGAAATATTTGGTTTTTATCCTTAAACTTTAATAAAAATCTATTTAAGTCATTATCGTAAATCTATTTTTATTATGTGTGGAGATTCATAACATTCAAAAAAGATGTTATATTCAAGTTTAAGATATAAAAAAAAGGACAAACATACACAATAATCTCTATTATTCTATCTCTATATATGTTAGATTTACATATAATGCATCTAAACAAAAGTTCAAACTAAAGAGGCTGTCTCTAATGAAAACAAAATGTATTATAATTATTAATTACAACTTTTGGTTCATTTTCCAAAAGTAAAAAAAAAAAAAACGAAGAAATTGAAAAACCTAAACTAAAAGGAGAGAGAGGTGGGTGCAAAAAGAAATGATTTAGGACCCATATTTGCACCCATTTTTGTACTAACCAAAAAAGAAAAAGTTCTACTCTTTTTCTTCATTTTTCCTTCTCACAATGGTCGACTAAAACTTGATACTGATCGATAATCATCTAAGTATTTGTGTTCTATCTCTGCATGTGATCGGGGAGTTCGGGGCACTCCACGATGCTCTCCAAAGAGGGTTTCCAAGAAGCACTTGTGTTGAAATCAAGTGCTTCTCGAGAAATCACTTTCCTCGATCTCCTACCTCTCTCGATCTGTATTTCCTCCAACAAATCTTCTAAGTTTCTCCCTCCTCTCTCATTGATGTGCTCCATTAGCCACTCCAATTCTTCCTTGGTGAGCACAACTTTGATCCTCATTCCTCCCTTCATCTCCTTCTTCTCCTCCTCTGCCGCTTCCTCTGGTTTCCACACTGCCTCCACGCAATTGCCCATGCCTCGCCACCTATTTACCAAAATGCCCCTCCCCGCCTCCCTGTCTTTCCCCTCGATCAGCTGAGAGAAAAGAGCCACCAAGGAAAGGGGGGCTTTATAGGCAGAAGGCTCCCTTAAATTATTTAATTTAATAATGATGATAATAATATTGTTTCTTTTTCTATTTTTTTTATTTGTAGTTTTCTTAGTGACAACTAATTCCCATGCTACGTGATAAGATATGTAGTTTTCATAGACGGGTCAGAATCAATCTTCTTTTACTTACTATCGTGAAGATTTGAATAAATTTGAATAATATTTTCATGTTTATGGATTGGTAGGTACCGTACCACAATCAAAATTTTGATAAGTATTTATTTATGTCATTTTGAATTGGTTAATTTTCTGTCAGGAATTTAGTTTCAGTCTGATATTTTTTTTTTGTTTTATGCCTCATTACATTGGAATTCATTTTTTTTATCATAGCGTTAAAAAACACTTATTAATTAATAGAGCAAGTTAAAATGTTTGGTTTCCAAATAATTTTAAAATGATCAAATTGTCAAAAGAATATTATATTCAATAATAAATTCAAATGAATAAAATATTATATTGTCAATATATTATATATATATATATATATATATATTGTTTATGCAAGGATATACACAACAGTGTATTTCAGGTTGCAGCTCGAACTCGGCCTCCGGACCGATCTGAATACTTGGGCGGACCTGCACAAAAAGGTGAGCACTCCGACGATCAAGTCAGTATAGGTCGGATTCCCAGTTTAGTTCGAGGTCAGAAAATCATCGTACCTGATCGT